TACCCGTAGACCTTTTACACCCTACTCCTTAGGGTAGGGCGATAGAGCCAGCCGAGCGATGAGAGATCAAACGTGAGAGAGAGGGTCCGGCCGCTGTCGTCAACCACCGTCACGATTGCGAACTCCATCACCAACGCATCTTTTGTCTCCTGTGCCCTGTGGACGTTGCTAGCACTCCATGTTCGCTTGGCATTTGGAGCGGAGACTTTTAGCCTCGATACACGACATCATGGTGCGAGTCGAAACGGACTCTCTTTCGTGTCTTCAAGTCTTGTCGTGACCCGAATCCGCCGTCATTGTGCCTCCAGCATCGGGCTCTCGTGTATCACGATGGATCATGTCGAATTTTTTTTTTTGTTAATTCTTCATTTGTTTCCTTTCTTTTTCGCCGTCGTGACCGTCCGCCGCCAGCCGAGTCTCAAGACTTTGAAATCGCCAACTCCGACCCCCTCCAACATTCTTAGCCATGAAACACGTTTCGACACGCGGACCTCTGTTGGTTTGCAAACGTGGTCAAGTGGCACACAGCATGGCATTCCACTTTTTTTCATATCTTGCCCTTGGGCAGCGCCATGGGAGCCCTCGTTGCGACCTTCCCGGATAGTGCATAGGCCAAGAGCTCGAGTCTTCTCTGCGGTTCGCCGGTCCATTTACCAATCCGCCGCTATAGGCCATTGCGGTTCATGGACTCTTGGTAAGAAGAAAAGAACCAAGTGCGGAATACCGTCGGGTCTAGTTGATTTGTGTCCCGGGGGGGGATTTGGTTTAGGCGGACCAAAAAGTACCAGGTTGGAAACTCATGCAGCCTTAAGTACTGCGAGGACGAGGTATAAAGAGTCTGTTGTCGGCTCTGCAAGCTAGTGAATTCTTGCTCATATCGTGCTCAAACACTCTCATTGTGGTGTTTTCCCCCTCTACTCCCATAGTCAATTGGCAGTCTTCACCATGAAGGCATCCGCAAGGTCAGTCATCCTTGCCATGCTGGCCGGCACCAGCACGGCAGAGCGATTTGTTGCCCCCAATGCCCAGAGCCTGGCGGCTTTTGACTCCCCCCTGGCCGTTTCCATGGAGGAGATGAAGAGCATGAAGATTGCAGAGAGAGGGCAGGATATTGCAAAGGGTGTCTTTGACGAGGGCCGCTACAGGCTCCAGGTTGCCACCCCTTGCTCCAATGGCAAAGCCGGCGAGTACTCGTGCAAGAATGTCGATCTAAAGGGTTTCCTGCGTCACGAGGATATGGGCAGTCAAACTCGGGCCGGCAATGATGTCTGGGGTACGTCTGTCTCCTAATTGTCCGTCTTGATCTTGAAAAACATGACAATTTCGCTCGCCGGCTATATAGGCCCCCGAGTTGCTTTGTTTGGAGACTTGGTTGCTGACCGGCTCGCTTCTTTGATAGGCTGGACTTCTTCCACCGGCAGAGAGTTTGGGATTGTCGGCCAAACCGACGGGTCTGCCTTTGTTGAGATTCTCAAGGACGGCAGCCTCGTCAGCTTGGGACGGCTTCCCACGCAAACCAGCAGCTCTACCTGGCGCGACATGAAAGTCATTGGTGACCACGTCTACATCGGCTCGGAAGCGCCCAGCCATGGCCTCCAGATCTTTGACCTGACCAAGCTCCTGACGGTCGATCCCAAGAACCCGCCGACCTTTGACGTCAAGAAGGACCTGGCCGCGCACTTTGACGGCTTCGGCAGCAGCCACAACATTGTGGCCCACGAGGGGAACAACATCATTTATGCCGTTGGCACCGCCCGTGACGGCAAATGCGCAGCAGGCCTGTGGATGGTCGACGTGTCTGACCCCAAGAACCCCAAGGACGTCGGGTGTGCCGGTGCCGACGGCTACGTCCACGACGCGCAGTGCGTCACCTACAACGGCCCAGACACGGCGCACAGGGGCAAGGAGATTTGCTTTGGCTACAACGAAGATACCCTCACCATCTACGATCTCTCCGTCCGCTCGTCTCCCAAGATTCTGTCTCGCACCCCCTACCAGGGCGCCACGTACACTCATCAGGGCTGGACGACGGGTCCTGACCACCGATACCTGCTGCTCGACGACGAGCTCGACGAGCAGAAGCAAAACGGCGCAGCCGCCGACGGCCGCACCACCACCTACATTGTTGATGCCGCCGACTTGTCCAAGCCTATCTTCACCGGCTACTACAAGAGTCCCGCCAAGGCCATCGACCACAACCAGTACGTCGTCGACGGGCTGTCCTACATGTCCAACTATGCATCCGGCCTCCGTGTCGTCAACGTCACCTCTGTTTCCCACGATGACACCGGTGCTGGCTTCGAGGAGGTCGCCTTCTTCGACGTGCGCCCCGAGGACGACGCCGTGGGTGGCGAGACAGTCTTCAAGGGTGCCTGGTCCGTCTACCCTTACTTCCAGAGCGGCCATATTCTTGTCAATAGCATTGAGCGAGGCATCTTTTCCGTCAAGCTCACCCTGTAAATACACTAGATAGACACCCCTCATTGCTGTGGGGGGGGGTAAAACGAGCACCATGACTACAGTGCGATGCCGTGCTCGGTGCTTCCAGTACGTTAACCACTTTGTTTGTGCAAGCATGCTCTGGCTATTCACGAAACCACGTCCATACACTCTTGGACTCAATATACATATACAAAATTGGGGCTCTCCTTGTCCGTAATGTCTTGAGACGCCGTAACATTAAGCGTCTCAAAAAGCTGCCCATTCTCCCTCAGCACCTCCCGAATCTTTTCCTGGCGACGATTCTCCCCAGAAAAGGCATATCTGAAGACGAAAAACAGCAAGAGTTCTGCACAGTTCGCCACGAGGAGGGAACCAATGCCGAGTCGGTACGACGGTGCTTGGTCCGACTTGTAGAAAAAGGGGCCAGCAATGTTGCCAATGCACGCGCCGAACCAAATCATTCCCGATACAATCATCTTCTTGGATTGACCTCCAGTGTGAGGGCGCCTTGAGGGATCCCCAAAAGGGCGGTTCTGAACGTGTCGAATCCCAGGCCCTAAATCACAAGCGTTGGAAGTTGGAGATGCCGCCGTTGGGGATATTCGCAACGAAGCCGAGGAGCGTGAACAGCCAAGTCTTGCAATACAGGTAGGCTTCCTTGATCTGGGCCCAGCTAACCCGTCGCTGCTCGATACCTGTTTGGTTGCGTCTGATTTGCGCAATCATCGTCAGTTTTTCGTCGTGCGAGAAGCCCCGGATGTGCGCGGGGAGTTGGGCAACATGAGACAGAGGACAATGCCCCAGAAGGCGCAGAGGGCGCCAATGATGGCGAATTCGAGGCGCCAGGATGCTAGGGCCCCTTTGATGTGGCCGATTGCATAGCCTATATGCCTGTTAGTTATCCGGCTTTCAAGAGCCCGCTGGTTGGTATGTTTTGTACATCGTACCGAGCAGACCACCGCCAGCTACGCCAATACCATTCCATGCGTACCAGGCCGAGATTCGTGACGGCTGTTCCGCGCGAGTATAGTACATGGACGTGATTAGCATAGATGCCGGGTCAGCAATGGCCTCAAAGGCACCTGATAGTACGCGAAGGACAAGAAGACTACCGAAGTTGTGGACCACTGCCTGGAGCATCAGGAGAGCTCCCCACATGGAGATGTGAACGCGAGGTAGTATGCCGGTGGGCTGCGCTGCATGAGAAGGTTGGATGGAATGGCCCAGACCAGCCAGCAGAAGTAGAAGCAACTGCTGAGCCAGGAGTATTGGGCGCCTTGAAGGTTGAGGTCTCCTTTGAGTCCAAAGAGGCGGCGTAGGAGAGGGTGGTCTTGTCAACATACTGTTTGCATGCCGTGACATGTTAGCATGTGGTCTTTTATTGATAGACCGGTGTTGCTTGGTTGCTGTTTTGGAAAGGCCACATTTGCGTAACTATAGGAGTAGGGTGTAAAAGGTTTATAAGTACTTATATAAGTTACTTACTTATAAGCTTTAAGTAAGTATAAGTAAGAAAAAAAAACTTAAATAAATTTATAAGAGAAAATAAAATACTTATAATTATTTATTAAAAATATTAAGTATTTTTAAATAATAAAGTATTATATTATAGCTTTAATTTAAATATAATTACTTCTTTATATTAAATTAATTAATATAAATAATTATTATAATTAAATAATACTTATTATTTTACTTAAACGTATTACTTAACTTCTTCTTTAAGAGTATTACTTAACACTTTTAATACTTTTTTATACTTTATAATATCACGTAATTTTTTTAATTTATAGTATTACTTAATAAGTATAATATTTCGCTTATTTTCTTATTTACGCTTAATAAAAGTTAATTATAATTAACGTTTATTTACTTACTTTATATATACGTTTTATAAAAGCTTAAACTTAACTTTACGCTTTTTACTACTTAAATTAAAAGATTAACCTAATAAGTAAAAATAATTAATATAATTATATGTATATTATTATAAAAAATACTAGAATTAACTATAATTATAGCGTTAAATTAGTATAATATTACGTTAAAATAAAGCCCTAAAAAAAGAATTTATATTACTATAAGTATAATTATTAAAAATAATTAATAAAATTTACGTTCTATAATAAAAATAACATAAAAAGATATATTAAAAGTAATAAGATAATATATAAAAAGTTAAAATATATAAAATCTAATAATAAG